CTTGAATACTGTGACATCATTATACTATACCAGTGGAGGAAATTCCCTGGTTTATTTATGCAGTGCCTTTGATAGCATCCATGTTAGGATGCATCAGTTCAAGTGCTATATCAAGTAATGCATATTTGAATACCTTGAAGGCAATAAAAAATGCTTAAAACCAAAAATGGGAGTTTGGATGTCTGAGTTTTTTTAGCAGATGACAGCAGTGGAATTGATACAAGATCAATGCATATGGATGATGTGGATTGTTTAAAGGCTCATATCTACTACATATATCAACACAGCATCCATAGTTTGCTCTGGGCCAGATCTAAATGCATTATCAATCTGAATTCTTAGCCCAACTATATGAATTATACTAAGATATATGTACCCTCATCAATCGGACCTGCCAGTTATGGCCCTCTCTAGCCAAGTGAGGTGGAGGGGGACAACAAGGGAGACTTCAACGGGGATGCTGATTTCTTGCTCCCAACTGGCGTTGAGGGAGGCGATGACGATGACAGGTGGGTTGATGAAGTGGTGGCTATGATGGAATCGAATTTGAGCGCAAGGTTTGGCCTGTTTGCCTCTGCTTGACCAAGGTCAGCGTATCTTCCCCTCTAGTCAACAGTTGAGTTGACCATTGTACCATTAGATCTGCAAGTTCGCCTCGAAGGTCGTGAATTTGAACACAATCCTCCTGCCTGCCTACAAGAAGCGGGTTGCCGAGTTGAAGCTTCCCGAGTGCCTGATCCCGCGCGACGTGGCCACTTGGTGGAATTCCATGTATGATATGCTGACAGTGGCATTGGAGTATAGGAAGGTGGTCAATTCAATGTGCGCAGACAGAGACCTGGGGTTGCAGAAGTATGAGCTGGGTGCACGGGAGTGGACAATTGCTCGCCAGCTCACCAATTTGCTTAAGGTTTGAACTTTAACCTTAATTCTTGAGCTGTGCAGCTGACAAACCTTATCCCCTCGCGTGCCCGCTGTTGCACACGTGCCTGCACCTCAATTGCCCCTCTCCTCATCATCTTTTCCTCCCCAGATCTTCAAGGATGCATTGTACTTCTTCTCATGCGGATCTCCCAATCTGGCCACTGTCATCCCAGCCATGGACCTTATTGACCAGCGGCTCGCTACTGGCCACATGCAGACCTCCAAGTATGACTTTGCGATCTGCATGGCCATGGGGTTAGCAAAGAAGACCCTGAACAAGTATTATGAGCTCACAGACTCTTCGAAGGCATACTGCATTGCCATGAGTACGTCTCATCTTATTTTCTCGGTGTTCTATTTGTTAAGGCACGTCATGTTGCAGTCCTGCATCCGAGCTACAAGAAAGCTTACTTCGAAAAGGCCGCGTGGCTCGCCAAGTGGATCGACGTCGCCAAAGAGCTCGTCCGCACACAGTTCAACAAGACTTGGGTGAAGAGGGCCATGACTGGCAGGTCCGATTGATGAGGGTATGTATCCTGCAGTATATTTATGTAGTTGGACTGATAATTTGAATTAATGATGCATTCAAATCTGGTACAGAACAAATTATAGACCTGTGTTAATAATATAGTAGATATGAGACTTTGAACAATCCAGATCATCTGCATGCATTAATTTTGAATCACTTCCACTACTATCATCTACAAAAGAATACTCCCATTTTTATTGAAAGTGCTTTTTATGATACTGAAGCATCCAAATATGCATTATTTGATATTGTGGATGATTTGATACAACCTGACATGTATGCTTTCAGAGAGGCACAACACAAATGTCATTAGGAATTTCTTCCACTGATATAACTGGTATAGTATGATGACATCACAATATTCCATACAGTCAAAAACAGCCCAATGGGACACCACCCCCCAATGGGATACTTGCCTGTTTTAGTAGGATCTTTACTATTTCAAGCAATTAGGCGCTGTTTCTCTGTCACTGCAAGGGCGAAAATGGCGCCCATCCGCCAAAATATTGCTATATCAGGCAGGTGTCCCGTTGGGGGGTGGTGTCCCGTTGGGCCGTTTTTGACTGTATATTGTGGCACAGAGTAATGATCCAAGCTTACTTGAACTGCCCAGGGTACTTAGCTATAACACCACATGTCACTTGGAGATCCTTATCTCACCATAGTGCAGATGTGTTGAATAAACAAAGCTATGAGTGGGAAAAGACAATGAGCATTCACTTAACACTGCATATATTCAAGCTATTCTACAAGTACAGCATAAGGGAATGAACTAGTCAGTTCTTTGTTAGGTGAGTAGGAATACCAGATCTTGCATAAGCAGAAATACATCCTAGAGCAAACAGTTGGGCGATGGGCTCACACTGTGCTTGGCGGCAGTGCTCACCCTCCAACAAGATGTCCTCATTTGATCATTTAATAACACAGCTCAACCCAGACTCCATTTTATTGCACATTCGGTTATTTCCCTCTGCAAAAGACACTCTTATAGCATTTTTCAATCTCTAGCATCGACCAGTTGTTTTTATAAACCTAGCCACATCAGCAAATGGAGCCATATTGACACCATAAGTGCGGTGTTATTTATGCCATATGACAGTCATTTAATTGACATGTTGATTGAGGTTGATTCTCTATCATTATTGGCCTTTATTGAAGCCCTAGATCCTGTTCATCAGATTCAAATTACTCCTGATACATTATTTTTGTGTACTATATTGCTGCGGTATACTGATCCTTTCTGCAGCCCAAAGGCTGTTGCCAAGAAGGCTGCTGCTCCGGCTCAGGCTAAAGGTGCCAAGGCTGCAGCAGTGCGCAAGACCACAGCTCCTGCCCGCAAGGCCCCGGCAGCATCTGCCACTAAGTGAGTGTCGCTCTCTCCTCATTAGCACAATTTTCTCAGCCACCATAGAGGGAAGGCCGTCCGTGGCAAGGCAGTGCGGGCCATTGACAGTGACGTGGAGGAAGGCTCCGACGAGTCCGACATCCAGACAGAGTCTGACCTTGGCATGGAGGAGGCTGCTGCTGACAATACCTCGTACGTTGCTCTGCATGGTTTTTCGTTTGATGTGCTTCAGTTCTGAAGGGTATCCTTACAGTGACAATGAAAGTGTCTCTGCGGACGTCATGATGATCAGGTAAGATATGCGACATCAGCCCCATGCAAATCTAACACTGCATGCAGCGATGACGAGGAAGACAGCCGCCAGGAGGTTGAGCTGACCCCGAAGATTGGGTATGTGTCTTCACTTTATGCTGTGCTTCTCTGATATTGTATGTTGCAGACGCAGCCGTGCTGCCAACTCTAGCCCGCCATCTACCCCGAAGACTCCGTCGCCTGTGTGAGTGTTATTACTCTGCTGCATTGCTGCTATCTGTCATCTAATACTTTGCCGCAGCAAGCCCAGTCGTGGCAGAGCCGTCAAGCCGAAGTCCACCCCCGCTAAGCGTGCCAAGCAGTAAGTGTACCGTGTTGTTATTGTGGTACACCATTGGACTAATCATCCA